TTTTTAAGCATGTGTTTTAATATATAAAACTCCGTTATATATTTGTGGAGTTGGATGTTTCACATACCATGGAAGAGAATGAATTCAAGTATGATTATGGAGGTAATGAAAATCAATGAAGTGAGAATACGATTGATGGTATCAATGCTACTATATCCTTTGATCTGAAGCATCTAAAATAATGCATTTTAGTGAACTAGCTTTAATTGTTACCGTTCATTGTAACGAAAAAATATAGGATGAAATCTTTTTCCGATCGTGATATCACGACTATTTTATTCTAGTATTCGATCGCAAATGTGAGGAGTAGCATTCGTTCTATTCCTCATATAAACATTGATTATACACGAGTTCATCACTTTCAATGTGTTTATATCAGATAGAACACAATTTTACATAGAAGAATAAAAAGATTAAACGATAAGAATACACAAAAAAAAGTTTACGTAAGTTATCAATAGAGAGATCATGACTATTGTATTAATAGATAGATACAAACCGTCGATGAAAGAATAGTGACTTGACACGATATACCTTGTTTATCAGTGTAAGAATATATAAAATTTTGATTATTTATACAATTGTATTTGCCAAGTAAAATGTACAGATATGCAATGCAAATAAATCCTTACTCACCGTGATTGACAATACATTTATTTGTAAAATATAATTGAAATATAGCGCAGATATTAATATAAAAAAGATTTTCAATTTGATCTATATAGTATATCTCTCCTGATCATCTCAAACAGTATTGTCGTAGCTGTTTAGTAATTTACAATTCCTTGAATATACTTGATGATATTTAGAATTTCTTATAGACACGCGATTCGAACAAAGCTTTCTATCCATAAACATTCTCGATGCATACATCAAAACTACTGTCGTTTGCTCTTACATTCGTCTAATGGAAATTTCATACAGTAAAAGTGCATAATCAGATTTGTTGTCTTGAGGGTGTGGGTGTGATTATTTCTCTCTCATTCAAATCCACACCCACACCCACACCCAATTTGTTTCGAATTTCAAAGGAAAAAAAAGAAATAATCATGGCAGACAATAATGTAAGAATTCAGGAATGTTACACATGAATAATTTCAGTGTGTATATATATATTCTTGTGTTTGAATAGAATCGAACATTTATTTTCAATTAACTTAATCTCATAATAAATTATCATAAAGTACATTCTCTTTCTCTTCCTAAACAGTTCATTTAATAATATAGGTGATTGTTCTATTCATTCAACGAGTTATCAATCTTTCAATACTAAACCTCAAATATCAATAAATAAAACAACTGACGATCAATCAACATCAAAAACAAATAAAAACCCGAAATCTTTCAAATATACTTGTCGAAACTAATCAAGGAAATGAAAAACAATATTGTGATTATGGTATTCAACAATTGAAAAGTTCACATAATTACCTTACCGAAATAAGCTGGTTAGTAAGAAAATATTTTTCAACTCCTCATTTTTTAATCTTAATTATTTCTAAATGCAACACCCAACGCTTCACAAATCATATTAAACACTGAAAAGAATAAAAATGAAAATTTAACACAAACAAATCAATCATCAGTTGATTCGTTGAGTGATTATACTTAGGATAGTTTAAAAATAGTAGCGAATGTCTGTTTTTTTTCTTGTAGGAAGCATTAAAAAATTTGTTTTTTTTTTCAAAAAAAATAGAGTACCATACATTCTATCAGCTGATAGCATTTCTATCTTAATGGAAATAGTATTTGTGGATTCGTTTTTATAATGAAATAACTCGTTGTATTGAAAAAAGTAAATATACGAAAAGATGTAATGTGAAAAGTTCTACAATTTGTAAGGTATTGATTATTTTGTAATTATAGTGTTTATTTTAAAACTAAACAAAACTCTGAATTAATAAGTTTCAGCGTGATAAAAACAAAACTGTTACGGTAAAAAAGTGAATTTGGTTTTTTTCTTATCTCATTTTCGTATATTTACTTTTTTCAATACAACGAGTTATTTGATTATAAAAACGAATCCAGAAATACTATTTCCATTAAGATAGAAATGCTATCAGCTGAGTTTTAGTAAAAGTCGTCTTATCGAAATTTTAATGTTATGACATTAGTTTTATATTGATCAAATAGAATGGGAAGGTAGAATGTATAGTATTCTATCTTTTTTGAAAAAAAAAACAATTTTTTAATGCTTCATACAAGAAAAAAAACAGACATTCGCTACTACTTTTGAACTGGCTCAACAAACACATTACATATTAATTTTAGTAGTATTATAATCGTTATCAGATTTGAGAAGAAAATCTTTGCCAGACGAATATTATGGCAACATTGAATCTTCTTGGAGCTAAAATAGTTTCGGGTCGGTTATTTAAAGTAGAAAAGTCGATATCTTTCGATTCCTTGTCGCTTTTTGACATATGAAGTTTTTAATGTGAAACGTTTTAAACTAACGTCGGATACGTTCATTTGGTTATTTTATTGAAAACAAAAGTAGGATAAATCTATTGTTAAACATTCTATCATATCTAATTTCTAATATAGATTTCTTATCTATTTTCTCAATCAGCATTGAAAACTTAAAATGATGTATATAAGTTATATTTTCCTCAAGATATTATTTCTTCATCTCAACTATTTTTATTTTTAATCAAATCGAAAAGTTCGTATCTTAAAAGACAGAAAAGTTAAAGAGACAATTTATTATTTTCTATAGAATCAAATAAACTGATACTTGTTGAATATATGATTTTGTTTTCTTTGATGAAAATCAATAAATATATATAATAATAAGAAATATAATATTACTCTCAAATCATTCTAATCAATTTATTTATTCGTTGTTTTTCTTCATTGAATTAATAAAAAGTAAAAATGAATTTGATTAAAATAATACAATTTGATTTAATTTTTAATTTGAAATTAATGATAATATATTGTAATGGAGAAAAGAATAAACAATCTATAGTTAAACGTAATTGTGTTCCTATGAGTGGTATATGTAATCGATTGTTGTGATGTTGATAATCCTCAATAGAGGACATTGTATTCGTTGTTGGTAACATGGTGGATATTTTATTGAATGGGGAAAATTATTGTTTTAGTTGTGGTCAAATTGGTACTGTTGCTATTGATTAAAACACTCATAAAGATGTGGGTAGATGTTTTTCTAATTCTTATGAAGACACCCACACTCAAGTTTTTCCATTGTCTTCGTAAGTCTAATTAATAACGACAGATTATTCGTTAAGGATTATTGCCATATGTGATCGTATCTTCCAACATCATCACCATTTCATTAAATCTATCTTCTCCTGGAAATCGCCAAATATTGTAGTTGATGAACATAAATGGCAGAGCAAGTGAATAATAATCATTGCGAATCTGGGATAGTGAGTATTGTGAAACTCCATATTTAACAAGAATCTGATGATAGACTTCTAAAGCTTTTGGTTCAAGTAACCGAACTTGATTCCGATTATTATAACGAAGGAAAAATACGAGATCAATTAATCCATTTGCACGAGAACAAGTTTGCCAATCGATTACAACTAGATTATGCGGTTGATTACGACGTCGAAATAGATTCTTAATAAGAAAATCACCATGAGATAATGTCTAATGCTCATCACTTAATCTTTGAAAGAGATAAGGAATATGTTGAACAAGTTCTTTGGCATATGCATATGCTTTATTAGAAGTATTTGATTTGAGTAGTTCTGTATACCTATTATCGGCCATATTCTTCGCATATTCATCGTGAAAATATGTCAATCTTGAATTAAGTGAAGGGAACCATTTAAATGCTTCTTGATCGAACAAGGGATGTCTGAAGAATTCTGCATGTAGAGATGCTAATGAAGCAACCACAGAAAATATCATTGAATCATTCAGCGAATCAATTGGACCTAGTTTAATGTAGTCAATGGAAAGATCTTCAAGAAGCAGGTAACTGATTCTAGAAGCATGAAGATGTCTAGCGACATAATATGCCTTGGGAATTTTTACGTTAGAAATCCGTGGTGCAAACTGTTGATAAAATCTTGGCTCGTTTGCAACAACAAGTCCATTCGGAAGGTTAACCGATACTTTAAATACGAAACTTTGTGGTAAAGATTTTGTATTCTCGGATAAATATTGAATATTATTAAAACGAAAGAGACGAGCAGTAGTTCCTTGATTACGATCGATTCGTTTGAACTCGAATGAAGTTACTGTTATAGATTTGTTTAAAGATACTGAAAGTATAGATGAAAGAAATATGGATTTTCTAAAATATGTATCAGACATCATAGAAAGAATTGGTACTACATCAGTCGATACATTTGTTAATGTCTTCCATAGATGATGCTGTAAGATATATGTAGTGATAGTACTCAAATGGGTACACAGCTGCAATTGTTCATGTGTGATAGAAAATCTGTGTGCACACCTACGAATGTTACTCGATGAGATACTGATATGTTTTGCATGAATTATATAATACCTAAAAGAGATTTAAAAAAAATAAATATAGAAATCTTTTTGAAAATATTTAACTGACTGTTTTGAAAAGGAAGATAACATTTGTATATATTCCCAAAGGTTTTTAGAATAATTTTCAATAGATTTCAACTGATTATGTACATTAACTATAGTCTTATTGTATTGTTGATTTATGACATACATTGATGGAAGCTCTGATTGGAGCAGTCTATCAGACTGATCATTAAAAGTTAATGAGTCTTCATTCAATAACCAAAATATATCAATTTTCGTTCCATTAGGAAGTTGAGAGTGAACACGAGAGATAAAAGCTTGCATTATAAGAGATAACTTTATATGGCATTGTTGAAATATTTGAAAGAGATCTACCATTACCCAATCGAGATTTTCAATGGCAAGATTGATCATCGATAGACGGTGACCAACTCCAATCATTTCTTCTGGCTTCAGTTTCTTTGAAACATATTTAGAATGTGCTGGAGATATATATGTAGCTAAGAATTCATGTGTTCCAAGATTATTAATGTATTTTTTTACTTCTTCCAACATATTTAAATGACCTTTATGAATTGGAACAAAACTATCACTGTAAAAACAAATAGCTGGAATCAAGTTTGTTTGTTGAATTTTCAAGCGATGTTTTGGAAGAATAGATATATTATCATATTCAAATAATGTTTTTATTGGGAATGATAGATGTACTGGTGCACATGCTGATTCATTAGCATATGTTTCAGTGTGATTAAAAGTAGATTTCAAATCATTTAACTTTAAACGATTGAAAAATCCATGAAATACAGAGAGAACGACACTCGAATTCTGATCAAACTTGAAATATATAACATTGTCTGGAAGATATGTCGAATACATATCAAATGGTAAAATGCTTCTGTTTTGTCTTAATGATATAGTAGTCATAAAAATAGAAATGAGCATACTATTTATCAATATTAATTTAGTGAAATATTTCTGAATCCTCATTTGAAATTACACTAAGAAATAAATTTTTTTCTTCAGTGTATTAAGATGCTCGGTTGTTATCTAAAAAAGAGAATCAAATCAAAATAACAGTTTGATTATCAAGAGATTCTTTTGTGTTAATATATTTTAATTGATTGATAAAAGAGACATTGTCTCTACTACTAGTGTGACGAATTTTAGATAGTTCAATATAAATATTTGAAAATATTCAGATGTTGATAGTAACCTGGATAGAATATTCGTTACTTGCTGCAAAATTTAATTTATTTTGTTATCACAATGACGAGTTAGTGAAGTAGTAATACCGCTATCCTTGGTATATATGATGTTACAAGTATTACTCCAATCTCCAACTGTCCTTGTTCTTTTGTTTTACAAATACATGCATATGAGACATAATAAGTTGCTCGCTACGCTTGAGAACAGAAGAGAACAGAAGAGAATATGTACATGTACATATAATGATCAAGGTTATAACACAAGGAGATAAAAAAGATATTATAATACAGAATGAATACAATACTCCTTGAATAACGATTATTATATCGCACAAGGATAATATCTTTGAAGGATCAAGAGTTATATAGATATTATGCTTATTGGCATCTTGAGAGTGTAGATGTGAATGTGAGGATGAGAATGAAGAGAAGAGTATCGTCCACACACCCACCCTCAAGATGGTTGATTCAAAAATAAAATTTATCTACTACCTACACATTAATATACATCGATACTTAATAATGCATTACGTTGCCACAATATTAAAATACAAACAAAATCTTTTCACAGTTACTATTCTCAAGAATATATATTAATTAAATTCTGTTTTTCCTTATTCTTTCAATTTTCTTTGAGCTTAATGGTTAAATAAATGAACACAAAAAAAAAGAGTTTTAAAAATGTTTTCATTGTAATATATGTTATTAGTTTTAATTATTCTTTCCAGTAAATTGTGTGTATAGACATTTTTGTTCTTTGTCTCTTCGGTTTCCGTTGATAATTAAATACTTTTTATTAAAACACGAAAACAGAAAGATAAATTAGATAACATTTCGACTTCGTTCAAAATGCACGATGAGGTGTGAAGTTTATCATATACTTTTCTTCTTCTTCAAAACTTCGTTTTAATTATCTCAGAAAAATCAAAAATTAAATTCGTTAATTTCAGGGATACTTTAATTCTCAATCCTGAAAGGATGCGTTGGCAGCACGGAAATTAGGATGTTTGTCCGCAGGGTCAAAAAAACATCGAAAACTGATTTTCTGGAAAAGACATTTCTAGAGATTTTTCGATGCATGGAATCCGAATTTGAGGTTAGTTGGGTGACCATGGTTAGCGGTGGGTAGATGAAGAGGATGGGTGTGGGTGAAAGGTCAAAAAAACATCGAAAATCAATTTTCAGGAAAAGACATTTTTGGAGGTTTTTCGATGCAGGGACTTTGAATCTGAGGACTATTGAGATGTGGGTCTGGAGGGGGTGGGTGAAGACGGATCAAAGGTCAAAAAAACATCGATAACCGATTTTTCGAAAAGCACATTTCTGGAGGTATTTCGATGCGAAGAGTTCGAATCTGCGCATTTTTCGGGTAACCGTGTGGAGGGTGGGAAGAGGGATCAAAGGTCAAAAAATATCGAAAATGATTTTTTCACGGTTTTTGTTTGTGTTTTCAGTAAATATGGAGAAAATGATTTTCTGCGAGAAAAAGCTAAGCGAGTGCTCGAACGAGCGTTCCTTGTAAGCTCAATAACCTTGGTCAAACATCTAGGGATGGAGACGTCGTTGGTGCGAATGGGGGTGGGGTTGGGGAGCGGGATGAACGTGAAAATCAAATGAAATCGAGTATTTTAAAAAATGCATTTCTAGAGGTATATCAATGAAGAAAAATCGAGTCTAAGGTCTTTTTGAGCAGAGAGCTTGAGGTTGTGAGTGAGAAGCTGAGTAAACGTGAGAATCTATAGAAATTGAGTTTCTGAAAAAGTGAGTGTGGGTGTGTGTGGAAATGTGGATGAGAATATAGAACGGTAAAATACTCACACCCACACCCAAATCTCAAACTCTACAACTAGATCCACATATACGCCTATCTGATACCCTCTCTAACGACTGCTGTCTCAGAACACTTGATGAAGAGAACGAACTTGATACGAGAAGACAGTAAGTGGGATATCAGTCGTCAGATTTAATCTACATCACCGAGTAGTCGGGAGTGGCGGACCGAAGGGACGCCGACGACCGACTACGAGGTGAACGGACATTCCTTGACAAAAAATATAGTGCGGTCACGAGAGAACATGTTATATCTCTCCTTAAAAGATATGGTGAAAAAGTTAAGCTTGAAATTTTATAAGCGCCAACCGATAGTTGTTAGGTGAAGGTCATTCGTCGTTAAGCGAACGTCCTCAACGAGCATTACCCGTAGATAATATGAGTTTGGTTACAGATATTAGTTGGAAAATGGGATTTACCTTCAAATCATTCTACAAAATACAAAACGTTTTTGTGTACTATTATAATTCAATAGAAAACATTTGCGTCTAAATCAGATATAAACTGGTACATCGATGCTCTCAGTCTACTATTAACAGAATATAGGTTTGTCTTATACAGTCAAGTGTCAAGCGGGTCGAAGCGACGAACGTTACTTGTTTGTGGAAGGAGCTTTGTGTGACAGACTAGGTGAACTGTCTTGAGTTGCGAGCGTCTTTTTTGTGTACTCAAAAAGTGAGTACACTACTAGAATCGGTCAGTGTGTCCGGCCGGCCGTCCGTCCGTCCGTCCGGCCGTTTACACGATAACGCACGAAAGGAGAGTCAGATTGAGCTGAAATTTTCAACAGAATTCAGTCTCATATAGATCTCGGTCGAGTTCGAAGATGAGCCTAATTGGCCGGGCCATTCCCGAGTTATTGAAAAAATACTGATATTTCCTGTTTTTGTTGTATTGAAATATTGACGTATTTTGACTTTGACAAAAAAAACTTTTTTTTATAAGCAAATAAATCTTCAGCTATCATATACCATTCGATAGAGAATTTCAAGGGCTACAAAATGGTATATAAATATTGAGAAAAAAGTGTAGCATTATATTCTAACGTCGAGAATACTTTATAGAATCTCAACAGACTGGCCAGTCAACGTGATTCATTGGACACAGTATTCACTTTTATTTCTAGTTTTTTTGCTAATTTTGTGGCATAAAGAGTAATTTGGCATGGAGAATCCAAATCGGACGTTCATTTTAATTAATTAATTAATTAATTATTAACTATGCTCTAATTAGTCGTTAATTAATGAAGAAATTTTTTTAAGATTGGAAAAGGTGTATTCGAAAGTGGAGAATCCGAATCTGGTAGCTGATTTAATTAATTAATTAATTAAGCTTAATTAACGTTTTTTCACAAAAACTAAATTAACTCAGATTAGAACGGATAACTTGAATCTGAAGTTAAATTTAATTAACCATTAGTTATTAATTATTGATTAGGTATGAATCTACTATTAATTCTTTGTTATTGTGTACTCAAATAGTGAGTACACTTCTAGAATCGGTCTGTGTGTCCGTCCGTTTACACGATAACGCACGAAAGAATAGTCCGATTGAGCTGAAAGTTTGTACACAGTTCAGTCTTATATAGATCTCGGTCGAGTTCGAAGATGAACCCAATTGACTGGGCTATTCTAGAGTTGTTACAAAAATACTGATATTTCCCTATGATTTCCATATACACTTTTTGCAGTACACATAACTCTCGGATACAATCCGAAGTTTCCACATTTATTATTTACGGAAAACAAAGCATATAAATACGACGTGAGTAGCGTCCCTATAATAACGATCTTCAGTTGCTTAGTATCACTATATGATATGCTTAGTGATCTAAGGTTGTCGTGTTTGCAGTACATCTATTGTTCCTTTCAGGATTGAGTCGAGCGAGGTCCAAGGGACCGACGCGCTACTTGCAATAATGAATATTGATTTTTTCATGTAACATCTGTCGTATATTTACGATTTCTTCTTTCATAGGCTCTGGCTCACGAAATTATACAACATTAACAATAATAACTATTTCATTGGCTGTTAGACTTCCTATTTTATTTGGTATTATAGGTCTCATCTTATATTTTATACGTCGACGGAAGCATCCAAAAGCTCAAATACTAATAAAAACTAATCAGTATCCATTACATAATGCTTCTTATATTCCACAAAATTGTATTCATCGTAATTTTTGAGTTTTATAAGAATCCATTCTGATTCCAAAAGAAGAATTACAATTTTACCAGCTCAAGTATTAAGTCTATAAGTCACTTATGTTTTTATTTATTGTATATCTGGCAGAAAATAACATGTTGTATATTATAATCAAAGATATAACAGGATATCCTTTTCACTTTGACTAATGAACCAAGCAATGATATCTTTGTCTTTAACATAAACATGACTTGCTTCAATCAATTTTATTTTTATTTTTGTCAGCCTGTTCACACGTAAATAAGAAAAGGCAAGAATGATAAAAAAAGAATACTTTTCTATTCGCCACTTCAATTTTTTCAACGATAATATTAATATTCTCGTTACTAGTTCACGTAGGAGAAAAAAAATAAAAGCTATATACTATAATTCACTTATTATTGAAGATATAAGTTTATTCAGATTATGTATTTATTTACATATGATAGAAAGAAAAATACATAGTTCGAAAACGAATATTAGATTGCTGGTTTAGTAAGAAAAAATTGTCTTCATCAGTGACTTGTAATGTTTTGACATTGTTTAATACATGAACATAATGATGGTGGACAACATTTTTGATGTTCTTCACAGTCGTTATTACTTGTGCAACACTTAGGTCCACGCTTACATGCCGCTTCTACCATAGCAGGTAAGCATACGAAACGGCGACACAGTATACGATTATTATGTGGACATTGTTTAGCTAAAAATTACATTTATATGTTTTTTTTCTTACTGAAATAGTTAATAAAAGTTACCATCATAAACAACATTTGATTTGGCCAAACAAATGAAGGCAAAAAGTGCGAAGAGAAGAACGATAAAACGCATTATTTATTTTAATATGAATGATGTTTACATCTGTTGGTTATATATATATATATGTACCAATTGGACTGTATTCTTTCTTTTTCATATTATTTATATTATATAGATAGGCCAGTAAATAAACATGCCCGATAATTCACAAAGAACATCTCCGTACAACGAATGACTATTTTTTATATTAAACGTCGAATAGTTCTCTTCTTTAAAAAGATATAATTATGATCGTTTGTGCCCACACAAATAACATTTTCAAAGTTGCAAACGTATTTGCTTTTAGTTTGACCAGAAAGAATATGTTGAGGGTGTGAGAATGAGTTACGAAAGAAAACACTCTTACTCACATCGTCGTTAAGATATGTCTGGGGGACTATTAGTCAACTGTATGTATAATGTCTTTATGAGTATGAACTTTTTTCTGCTCAAGTTCAAATTTCTAGTTCTTATTAACAGGCGTGTTCAAACGTATGTTTCTCAGTTGAGAATAAATTAATATTTGTTTGTACATCTCTGAACGTTTTTTGACAATCTTGAGTTGAGAGAGATTTTCAATTACGACATGCTTTAGAATTTATGAAAGGCTTTTTAGTAATAAATTAGTTTTTGAAAAAGTAAAGTAGACGTGTCATTTGTTCTAATGCTTTCTTTTATTCTATTTTTTTGTATACAAAAGAGGCTCAACTCATGCGGCTACTTCCAGAAACATTCCTACCTTAGCCTGTTGTTTATTCGTTAATTATTTCATCGTTTTTGTTGTTTTTAATTAACCTTTTCTATTATCAGGATAATGATAAGTATAAAATATAAACTCGTACATAGATGAGACTCCAACAATGATCCTTCTCATTACGATGATCGGATGATGAAAAGAGATTTAGTTTTTTTATATATTGGCGTAGGTTTCAAAACACAGTATTTTTGAAACAATAGTTTTTCTAACAAACAATTTAATAGTCAAAAATTTTGAAGTATTCAAGTACTTGGAACAGCAGGGATGTGAGTGTGATGGCTTCATTCTTGAAGAATTAACCAGAACCAATTTTTCTGAAGCATATTTTAACACAGTTAAAAATTAACTTTTTTTTTGAAAAAAAACTGAAACTATAACATAAATAATTTTATGTAAACTACAAAGCTTTTTATCCTGTATGTCTTGGCATATTTTGATCGTTTAGAAAGGATACAAATATAGAATAAACTACACACAACTACTTGAATAAAATTAATAAATAATAAAAGATGAACATTGAAGGAATTATTTAGTGATATATTAACTTCTAATTTATTTTATTCTCACTTTGGGAATATTATTTTATTACTTGTATTAAATGTAGAGAAATGTTATTCCTTATGATAACGTTATGTCCGATTGTGTATCTCTGTTTTATGACATTAAGTTATTATTGCCTGTCAGAAAAACGTTTGATGTCACTAATGTAAATTACTGTTGAGAGAAGATTAATAATTCAATCTCGAGATATATTTTTGTCCAGAATATTGTAGGTAATAATTTCATTATTTTTAAATATCGTGAATGATAAAAACTAATTTTTATGAATTTCTTATCTAGTGACCCTTGATTCTTTTCACATTTTTTTGTTATCAAACAAGCTTGATATTTCAATCAAATTATATGGCTTAAATCTAAAGTATACTCTAATATGAAGATAAGTAAATTTGTATCGATATTTCTCCTATAGAAGATTTATTATCTAAGACATTGAATAAGATTAATAAATGATTTTTTTGCATTTTTCGTTAGGGAAAATGATGTCACTGTGATTAGTACAACTCCAAATAAAGTAAATAGATTACAATAAATGACAGTATCATCTGTTACTTGTCCAGCTAAAATACAAATAGTAATAACTAATGATGGTACTTCAGCCACAGATATAATGGCGACATTGATCATAATATTATGTAAGACACGTAGGTTACGACTAATGTTGATGGTAGCGAATGGTTTGATACGAGGTTGTTGACGAAGAAAATACATGATATAATAATAGATAAGACCGATGATAGAGTAGGGAAGAAGACATGCACTGAACATTGAGTAAACAAACACAACTGGAGTTAATTTCATTGAACACCAATTAAGGACTGGTTCATAGTAATATGCATCGAGAAAGAAGAGTGGTAATGATGGAAACGTGAAACTAATCAACCATCCACAAATCATCAGTAATATATGTGTTTTAAATGTAAGCAAATATCTATGTACATAGAAGGCGATAAAAAAATAGACGGCTGATCGATTGAATCATAAAAGCATAGGAGATACCGGCTGCAGCCGATACTCCCAAATAGGAAACGATGATACATGAATTCGATGTATTCATACGAAAAAAAAGCGCATTAATATAATTGTACAAAGCAACGAGAAGAAAAAGACATGAAGCAATAGAAACATTGATAGCAAGGAAATTTGTTACTGTATATGAGGCAGAACGATCAACTACGATGACGATAATGAAAAGAATGGCAAATACAAAACCAATTAGAGATAATAATATCACTGGTGTGTAATTAATAGAGAGAAAAACAATAGTTGAATTCATCTTTCCACAAATATGCTGCTTATAGAAATAGAAATATGAAAATTGTTGAGATAAAAGAAATTACAGTTGTCATTCTATCGATTTCCGATGTAGGTCAAACAAAATAAAAGAAATATTTTAGGAAGTTTTACACTTGAATATTTATCGTTTCAATATAGAATTACTCAGAATAAGTTGTAAAGAAATATTTATAAACATTTCTGTAATATTTCCTGTTCCTCAAAAATATCCCAGTTTCGTTTTTACTCGTTTGGTTATTAGCATTGGACTACATGAGTCAGAGTCAGTAGTCACTATAGCAGCATCATTTCATCTAATATTATCTAGTTTTGACATGACTTTCTCTTCATATTTTTCATTTTAATTTGTTTCCTCTTGAACGCTTTTTCATTGTGTGTTTTTCTTTGATATTCTTCCTCTCGCATGTCTGTTGATTGTTTTACATTCAACGAAATATTTTTTCTTTATTTTGTTGTCTTTACTCAAAGTATTTTTTCAATTTATGTTGACAATGATAATGCAAATCTTTCTAATAAAAACCTCTCGATATCAATAACATGTTGATATTCTTGTAGATGAAGAAAATAATATTGTGTATTATTATTTACAGAATATTAGATTGGCGGCTGGCATCAAATCGCCTACCGATTACAATTCCTATGAATGAACAAGATGCCAAAAATGCTTGTACGGAACTTCAAAGTAAACGTTCCGATTTAAATTGTAGACAATTTTCTATGTCATTCCAAATCGTTAAAGATGCTAACTTCTTCGCTCAACATTGGGAATGACAGGCAGTGAACAACAACAAATTGAATCAATTCTAATGAATCAAGTAGAAGGCAAGGGGGTAATAGCTGGCACCCAGCACCGAAAAACACCTAACAGGTGCTGAGGTGCTGTACTGGTGCTCAGGTGCCGAATAGGTGCTAAGGTGCTGAGCAAGTGCTGAAGTGCTGAGTAGGTGCTGAATAGGTGTTGAAGTGCTGAGTAGGTGCTGAATAGGTGCTGAAGTGCTGAGATATTAATTGATTTTGTAATATAATATATAAAACAAACGACTGTATTGTGAATGATTAAGAGCGTTCTCTATCGGACTCATTAATATACGTTAATAATAAAGAAATTTTTATAAGTACTCAATCAGAAAAATACCCATTTTATAATATTTTCCCGTTTAATTTAATTCTTTTTACACTATTTTCTGATGTTAAAAACGAAGTTTCGTTAAATATCGTTTATTTCAGATAATTAGTTTAGCTAATGTCGTCATCAACATTTGCTACAGAAATTAATCAAAATGGTTTACCAAATGATATTTTTCATTGTAATAATGATCAGTTTTATAATTACAAGTAGCGTTCATCGAAACTTGATTCACTTGGCCCTAGACTGCCGCGGTCTGCATGCTGATATAACTATATTTAGATACGAATGAGAGTTAATCAAAATTAGTTTTGACTTTCGGCAGAAAATCAAATTGAATTTCGGGCTTATATAAAATCAAGCATTTTCTAAAATTTTCATACTTGTAGAATGCAGAATAAAGTTCAAAAATGCTTTAGCTTTATTAAATTCAATTTTATAAAAAGTAGGATTTCAAAAAAATACTACAGTGCAGATTTCTTTATCATTATATATCAAAACTGATTTGGAACTCTTTTATCTATATGCACTATAGCAAGACTATCAAACTGACAAGCTGATTAAAAATGTTTTGCAATAATGCAACAACTAAACTTTTAAAACTATCAAACTATAATGCGTATGTTTTTTAGCTTCTAATCCTGCATCTTATTTTATTGAGTTGTCGTACAGGATTTTTCGATGCATCATTGTTTTTTTCAAACATGCATTAGAAATAATTATCAATGATAATGAACGAGATGCTATATAAAAATAGGCGAACATTTTTTTCAAAGCTTTATAATACTCTGTGTATAAGAACATTTTGTTTTTTTGTTATTAATATTATTTTCATCTTTATCCATATTCAAAGTAAAATTAGCGTTGCCACATTATTTTAATTTGTTCAACAAAATAAAGATCTGTATATAATTAAGAAATATTTTAAATATTTAAGCCCGCGCCTTTTTTAACAAATAAATTAAATATTTTATATTAAATATTTTGCTATTCAAATATTTGAGTTAGCGCCCTTTTTAACGAATAAATTAAACATTTAAGTTTGCGCTCTTTCTAACAAATAAACTAAATATTATACTATTCAAATAAAACGATAATAGCAAAGAAAAATTATATTATAAAAAATATGCCTTAGTTACATGGTTATTTGCGCCCAAAAATCGTTCATTTGTGCCAAAAAAATGGGTGTGGGTGGGTGCTGAATAAGGAAGAATACAACACCCACACCCTCATCCTCAAGATATGTGAGAATACTTTTCGAATTACACGCTCATTATCAGGTTCATTTTCGTCAAATACAAATTTTAGTGTCGAATCATTTTTGAAAGGATGCGAAAAAATATCAATAGCCAATTCAATTAAAAATCGTGGTGGACATATAGGAAATTATCAGTTTACTTTTCCACAACATCATAAAAATCATAAAGATACAATTAATTATTCAATAGGACATGTTAATGAATTGAATTTGACTGAAAATGATATTGAAATTATTATCAAAAATGCATTTGAAGCAGCTCAAAAGTATGTTGCAATGGTTAATATGACTCAATTTTTGGAAAAAAAAATATCTATACATTATCAGGTTTAAATACATTTACAAAAACAATTTTAAATAAATCATTATCAAAGATTATCGACTATCCAGTTGATAATAATAGTTCTGATGAAAATGATGTTTCCAATATATTAAATAATGAAGAACAATTATCACCAAATAATACCGATGATGAAGAGGAAGGAAATACAATAGTAACTGATGTTTCTGATACAGCACAAAAAAAGTTCAATGGTTGTCGTATATACGACAAAATCAATCCACAACAATCAAAGAAATATTTTCGTATACGTATGGGTTCATCATATAAATTTATACACAAACAAACAGCTTGTTGGTTACTTACAACAGATAAACAACCATCTTCAAGTGATCGATTACTACGTGTTCAGCAATAAGGAGTAAAATAACATAAGTCCTATTTGCAATTGTTTACATTTGATTTTTCATATTTTTGTTGATGCAGCCTTTCGTGTTGTTGTTTTTCATATAATTTTTCATATTTTTCTTCATATAGTTGTTTATGTTATGAAGTATTTTTGATATTCACTTTTATGAAATTTTTATATTTTCATATGGTACTTGTATGAAATGGAAACTTTCTTCGGTATCATTGAGAATAAATAGGCTTTTTATGAATTATTTACATATTACTGAACTTAATTTCAAGTCAAAACAGTGTTGAAATAATATTGTTAAAGTGATATAATATTGAGCAGTATTTTTCTGCAGCAGAAGATGAAATTGTAATAGTATAACTCTAGTTCTAAGCATTTCTCCAATTAATATTCATCCTACAGCTTTCTAAGCTTCACAGCACCGGCAGGTGCTGAGGTGCTGAGTGCTGGGTGCCAGCCCTTACCCCCTTGTCCCACACCCTCAAGATGGTATCATAAATAATCTATTAACGTTTTTATTACGAAATTAAATTCATTTTCTATTTTTTTTCTTATAGTCTTTAAGATGATTAAAATCTTTTATAATTGCTTTGTTGAAATTTGTTTGAGATTTTAAAGGAGTAATGGATATCTTCAGATGAAATTCTTATATTAAACCATTTCGTAATTGATTTATCATTAAAAATGAAGACTTTCTTTTGTTTATATTCAAATATCTGTGAGTATACATTTAAATTGTGTGAGAAAAAAAGTAAAGGTTTTCTCTGACGTTGGACTAACAGGAAAATGATTTATCGAAATGTAATTAATATAATATTGATATTGATAAGAAAAATAAAAGAAATTTATTTTGTCATAAATTGTTAAAAGAAATTTTATATAAAAAAATATTTTTATCAAGTGACAAATTAAACGTATATTTGTTCTCTACACTTTCGAATCAATTCTTTTTCTTTTATATAAAAGAGAAGAAATTTGTTTCAAATGTAAACTGAAATATAATGGAAGAAAAAAAATTGGATTTTTATACATTTTTCTCTTCATATTTAAGTAAGAGTAAACAAAGTGAATATATTAAAAGAGAGAGAGAGAGAGAAATGAAAAATTTTTTGTTTTCATTTCAAGAATAATTTTAAGAAAAAAAGAAGAAGTTGAAACAACGACGAACGTGTGAGAATAAAAATGGCATTTTTTTGTGGTAGTTCCAAATCAAAAGATGATGTTTATCGTAATAATGATTTAGACAAACGAATAAAACAATGTAAACAAGGTGAAATGGATTTATCTTCAATGAATTTAACTGATGATGATATTCAAATTATTGTTGATAAAGTTATTAAAAAAACTAAATGTACATCTTTATCATTATCAAAAAATCAAATAACATCAGATGGTATTCGAGTACTTTGTGAATCAATTAAAAAAAATAAAAATTTAACACATTTAACATTATCATCAAATCCAATTGGTGATGAAGGAATTAAATATATCAATGATTTAATTATTAATAGTCCTTTTATTGTTCAACTATCATTAGCTGATACTAATTTAACTAATAATGGAATTATAACTTTTACTAAAGTACTTACTGGAAAAGGTTTAGCATTAAGAGGTATTGATCTTCGATCAAATAAATCTATTACAGATTCATCTGTCGAATATTTTCTTCAAATGACTGATAAAAATGAAACATTATCAACTTGTAGATTAGGTGATTGTGGATTTTCACAAGATGGAAAAGATAGACTTAAAGACGCAAAAGTTATTAAATGCTAACGTTTTATTTTATGAACTTTTTCATTTTATAAAAGACATTCATTGAATTAATAGAATAATATAACAACTTTATTTTTATTTCTATTTAAATATATACTAACAAATTAGATTTATTTTAAATCTTTTTTTTTCAAAACATCAATATATATCATTCAACTTCAAATACGATAATCTATCGACACTTATTCAAATTTTATTTCATAAGCAATCATATTTATACATATACATCAGAAAAAAGTGTGGGTGTGGGTGTGGGTGTGGGTGGTATTCATTTCTTAATGTGATCCATACCCACCCATCGTCTCCTCCTTAACACGTGCAAATGATGAGATAGAGTCATCTATAAATATGGAAAAAGAGACAAAGTCTATTGCTTAAATGTTTCAGCTCAATTCTTAAACACCTTGACCACCTCTTATTTATGTATCGTGTAAGTACTTCCGAGTGTTATATTAATGAGCACAATCAAACAAAATATATTTTATATAGCAAGTCGAAAGGTAAAAAATATGAATATGAGAAAAATAAAATTTTATTTCAATTATTTGTACATCATTCATTTTTCTTGTAAAAAATATTTATGAATGAAAATTGTTGATTATTTCGAATTATATATATATTAAAGATACGAATCTATATTCTGTAAATTCTAAAATCTTTTTCATCAGTTTATTCTTGAATGTAATTGAAATGAGATGGAAAAATGATTAAAAAAATTTTCTAATTTCATTTTCTTAAATTTATTCCTAACAAAATGAGTTTGAATCGATTTGATAATCTTAAATCGAATAAGTTTACAAAAAAATAAATTGTAAAATTGAGATTTTTATTGTAAAAAGAAGAAAATGATTGTATATTATAGATTGTTCAAGATTTTTGTAATTGAACGAGAAAAATATTTTTTTGTTTATAAAAGAACGGAAAAAGTCAATTATAAATATTCTTTATTCTATTGAACAAAAGTTTTTTTGTTGATCGACAATATAGAAAAAACTCGTTTCCTACATCGTTCAAACGGTTTAAATAAAAGAACACACTCATTGCGTATTAGATTTATTGTTGAAGAAAATATTCTTTTATAAAAATAGAACTATCGCAATTGATCAGTTTTGTGAAAACAATTCTCGATAAAAGTGATTGTATGTTATTAAATGAACAATATTTTTCTAATTCAATCTATTACAAATGCGTCGTTACATTTTCTTTTTCTATATATAAATAAATTCTATTTAACAAATTTCAAATAAAACAATGTCTGTAATATTATCATCTACTGATGATGAACAAACGGAATCTGTTCAACATGAAACTATTGATCAAAAATCAGATAAAGGTATACAATTTAATTTAAAATTATTATATAAAATCCTATTTTCTTAATAGTTAATCATAATAAACAAATCAATGAAAAAAATAATAATTCAAATTTAAAATTAAAAGAACAAACAAATAAAACTAGTTCACGTCGAAAATCTGTTACATATCAATCAGATAAAAATTCTAATCAACGTCGAAATTCTCGTACTCATCTTTCACCACATAAAGATAATCGATCTCATTCATATGCTCAACAAAAACCGACAAAACATATTCATACCGATACTCCGAAATTAAATAATACTCAACATCGAAATTCGTTGAAAGATGATAAAGTTCAATTAAATATACAAAATAAAACAGCAGCATTAACAATTGAAAAAAATGTTAAAAAAAATTCAAGTCCACGTAGAAAATCTTTTCCAACGGAAAAAAATAAAAATTCAAATATTGAAATAAAAACAAAACCAACAAATCATAGCCCACGAAGAAAATCTCTTAATTATGAATCACATAAACATATGTCCAATAATTTAAATAAACATAATCATACAATTAAACATGACAAACGAAGAAAATCTTATGATAAACAACAAAAATTAAATACGTCTAAAGATAAAAATCATCAGACAGGTATTATAATATATTTTATTCTCTTCAACAATTATTTCTTTTAGAAACTGATCAAAAAATTGATCCTTCTTCTACAAATACTTCTAATGATAATGAACAAAATTAAATATTCAATTGATTTTTCTTTTTATTTCTATAAACAAGAAAATATTTATCTTTATTTTTTAGAATTAAATTGTGTATATTATTTATTTAATGTTTTATTTCAAAATAAATAATTTTTAAACAATCGATAATAGAAATTGTATTGAATTTTAATTCATCTTATATATTTCTTTTTCCATTGACGAAGTGTCTTATCGAATAGTTAAATTGAATCTTCGAGTATTATACATATGTATAAATATCATTAATATTCTCTTTCTCATAGAGAAGAGTTCAGTAAGAATAAATTGTTTACTGGTAGCGAAAACACATCGTTTCTATGAGAAAGAGCGTTACTTGTGTATTTAATTTCCATTTAAATCAATAGAGTTTCATTAATAAAATCTTCGTCTTTTTTTTATAGATTTTTTCTTATTTTGTTAAAGAATCGAATCTTTGTCGTTTGCTGATATTTAAATAATAAATATTTCATGTGATGATTCTATTCATACGAGCAAATTATATAAGTTAACTCAGTTTTATTGAGTCTTGACTAAATTTTGAGGGCGTGAGCGTAGATATAGTCATCACCTCATATACACATGTGATAATACAATACTCACACTACTGATGATGACACTTGATGTGTGGAAAGCTCTAGTTACTCGTTTATTGTATTATTTTATAATAACTATATTCAATTCAACTTTTCATTGATTTTATCAAGACCTATTACAAAATCATCGTCACCATAGAAGAATGTTCTTGAACATAAAAGTTTTAGAGAAATAATAGTAATACATCAAGGTTATTATATAATAATCATTTTTTTATGATAAGTAAATATTTAACTTAATACTTGATGTACTCTACACAGTATTTTATCAAATATTTTCAAAAGAGATAGATATCATCGTCATTGAAATGTTAAAAAATTTTAGCGTATATAATAAATACAATTTAATCTATTTATCAAAGTGAAGAATAAGAGAAAAATTCTAATATATTATTTATTGTTTAATAAGAAAAAAGTTCGTTTTCTTTTCAATATTTTATTTCTTATGTTTCAATTTAAAATTTCAAAATAATAAAAATGAAATGAATATTTTTTTGTTTTTTTGTATAGTTATATTTAATAATAAAAATAAATTTTGTTTTTTTCATATTATTTTTTAAAGAAGAAAAAAAAAGATCGCAATTTCATAGAAAGATAATTGTTTTAAAAGAAAAAGCTTGTCCTTGAATTAATTGAAAACATATTTATGTTTATGTTATTTATCTTTATTCTCCTTGAATAAAATAAAATAACATGATGACCTTGAATGATTTCAAATTATTTAATAACATTCTTTTTTTTTTTTCTATATCAACGAATTTCTAATTACACAAATAAAATAATATAAAATTTTTTTTCTTTTTTTATTAAGGTCAAAGTCTTTGGTCTGTTCTCTATTTGAGTACATTCTTGTTAATAATACTTGAGAAATTCCATTGAAAATGATGAAAAAGCACATTTCTTTATGTGTGATGCGCGCATGATGAAAGAAAAAAAAAAAAGAATGACCTTCAAATGAAAATATTCTCATGATCACACAGTCGACGTATGTAAAATGTTGATCACATGATTTTATTTCGAACGAATTAAGAGTATTTAATAAGAAAAAAACTAATAAAATCAAAATTAATTTTCAATTAAAAAATGGATGATTCAATATTAGATGAAAATTTAAAATTATTAAATGGTCTACATGATAATTCAATAAAACGAAATGAAATTATTTCATATATTAAAAAAAAGAAAAAAATTTCAATTTTTGCATATGGATCATTATTATGGAATCCAATTGATTATATAAATAGTAGAATATCTAATTGTATACTTAACAATTATAATAAAGGATTTTTTTGTGAAGATTTTATTTATCGTGGTACAACTGATTTTACTGGATTAACAATGGGTTTAATAAATGATTCAAATGGATTTGTTAATGGAGTATTATTAACTTCAAATAATCATAATATCATACCATTTTTAAAATCATTTGTTAAACGTGAAAGTCCAATTGATTTTAAAGAAAATTTATTAGATATATATCAATATGATTTTGTTAAAATTAATTTACCAGATCAAATTAATTATGAATATGCATTAACTTGTATTGTTAATAAAAATAGTTTATTTTATTTAAATAATAAATTAACATTAGATGAACAAGCTATTAAAATAGGACAAGCTTATGGAATTAATGGAACCAATTTTCAATATTTAGATAAATTAAAAAATATTTATCAACAATTTCTTATTCAAGATTCATTTTCATCTCATTTTAATCATCTTTATAATAAAGTTATTTCATATCGTCAATCATTAACAATTCATGTACAAAAATGGTTTACTATTTATGATGAATTACAAACATTAGAACAACGAAAAGAAGCTTTAAATAAACAAAATTCAAAAGATTTTCAATTTATTATCGAAACATTAATTACACCAGCAATTTGTTCCGAACAATTAAATAAACAAATTCAACAAACAACATCAATTTAAATTTATTAAACCAAACTTATTCATATTTTAATATGTAAATAAACTAAATTTTTCTTTCTCTCATTTAGAAAAACAAAATCTATTGTAAGATTTTTATTTTTAATTCTTGATGATAATTATATTAGAAAATATATCTTTTGAAATTTATCTTCAACAGAAATTATCATAAAATAATTAAGAAATAAATATACTTATTTTCTTATATAAAATCGAATATATAATAGAAATCAATATTTATTAAAATTATTTTATTCATGTTTATATAAAACTCGATATTTACACTTGGAAATATAACATTATGATCTATTTCTACATTTTATTGATAGAAAGGGGTGTGGTACTATACTGAAACTAATTATTTAAATAAGTAAAAACTTATGTATATATGAGATAGAATATTAATATTATCCTATTTTATGATCATTTTCATTTTTCAAATATTTTATTTACCTTTAGAATACAGATTAATCGTTATGTTAATATAAAACAATTTTTAATGGTGACAAATATGTATATGAAATGAAAGTATAGAGTTCGAAGGATGAGTGTTGACAAAAAATCAGTGAACATCCATACCCATACCCTCAAGATTTTATTTCATTGTGATTGACTTGTCCATATAATATGAATATGAATGTACATGTGTATATCTATAATTTTCTTTTTCTATGTTACGGATGAATGATCTTGATGTTGATTATATATATATATCGGTTAGAGGTAAAATATCTTTGTATTTTGTTATATTTATAATAATAATAAGATATCTATAGAAGAAAAGAATAGTTTTTTATCATAAGATAAAATGGCAATGTCATCTAATCTAGGAAAAAATCATCCATGGTTTGAAATTTGTCATTCACGTCCAACATCAAAATATCAAGTATTTATATTTCCATCAGCTGGTACTGCAGGTATTTAATATAGAAATAAAAATAATAAAAATACAAATGAACTTCTATTTCAAGGTCCATATTATCGTGATTGGGATAAAGATTTTCCTGAATATGAATTTTCAATAATAGTTTATCCAGGTCGAGCAACAAGATTTGGTGATAAAGTTATAACTGATATAAAAGAATATATAAATCAATTAAATACTGGACTCTTACCATTTATAACTAAACCATGTATTTTTATTGGACATAGGTTAGACATATATATTATATTATTTTATATTTATTTTTACTTTAATTTTATTATCGAAGTCTTGGAAGTGTAATCAGTTTTGCATTAGCTAAACATATGATTGATACAAAAAATAAAAATCATCTACTTAAATTATTAGTTGAAATGGGTCGAGGGCCACCACATTTACAAGGTTTGAAAAATGATTTTCTTTTGTTTTTATATAAATATTTTTAAAGATCCTGATATTCCATATGAACAAATGAATGATAAACAATTAATTGAGCATTTAAAAGAAATAGCTGGTAAAATATTGATTTTTTTTTGTCTCTTAAAAATAAATTTGAATTTTAGATCCAAGTGCAAGAGAAATATATAATTATCCTGATTATATGCAAATGATCTTACCTATGTTAAGAGGTGATTCAAAAGTATAAATAAAACTAATTTTTTTTCTTTCGTAATATAAAATTAATTAAACATAGGTTGGAAATGAATTATTAGAAAATATTCCAATAAATCTTCCAATAATTGTTTATGGAGGAGAAAAAGAAAAAAATGTTGATGAAGAATTTTTAATTCGATGGAAAGAATTAACAACAAAACATGATTTATTTCATGTTCGAATGTTTCCTGGAAATCATAATTTTCAATCAGAATGTCAAACACAAGTTTTACAAGCTCTTAAACAAGATCTTAAACAATTTTTTTAAATTTCATTTATTAACTTCATTTTACTAATTTAATTAGTTTATTTCTTTTTTTTGTATTAGAAATAGTCTTGCTTAAACCCAAATACTTCCTATATAAATATAAGTACCGCTCGCCTAGAGCCTCGCTCAGCTCTATCTCGTAGATATCGCGTTACTAAACAACTACCAAGCTATTGATGTATATAATTAAACAAAACAGAAGTCTGATTTGAATTCTTCGATCCCGATTACTCTTAAGTCAACCCTTATAAAAAAAAGTAGTTCTTTGTGTGAAAAAATGAATCAAACAAATATTTTCAAAAACTAACATCAGATTCGAATTCGCCACTCCTGATTACCTTTTAATCAAGATTTATAGAAAATGTTTCCCTGTATTTTTACCTTATTCTTATGCGGACATACAATCAATCAATGAAACAATTTATGTTTACTGAACTCTTCTCGACAAAAAAAGAGAATTTTGTGATTTAAGCATTTTCATGGAATAAATTTCTACTAGCTCGATATACAAGATCTAAAAGAATATACTGAGAAAAAGAGACATTCGAAATAAATTATGTAGATTTTCATTCTATTGAATAATTAATATAAAAATAATTGAAAAATGTTATAAGTAACGCTCATCTGAAGACTCGCTCAGCTCTATCTCGTAGAAGCGATATGTTTTCGCTACCAGTAAACTATTTATTCAAACAATATCAAAAACTGACTTCAGATTGGAATTCTACGATCCTGACAATCATTCCGTCAACCCTTATAAAAATTGTTTATGTGTAAAAAAATTAAACCAAAAAAAAAAATTTCTAAAAAACTAACATCAGATTCGAAGTCTTTGCACCGAAATACCTCTAAAAATGTCTTTTTCGAAAAATCGGTGTTCGATATTTTTTGACCCTGCGAACATACAATCAGACAATTGATGTTTACTAGACTCTTCTCTACGAGAAAGAGAATAATAAAATTTTTGTTGATTAAAATGTAAAGAACGTAATTCTTTTGTTTAATTAATTTACGTTTTTTTTAATAAGAGAAGAGATTTTTGAGTAGTTACAGTTTGTTTCGATTTAAACTTAAAATAATAAATTGATTCTAATCGAAAAAAATCTTACGAAGTTTACTCAGTTTTTTTTTCTTCCGTGGATGAAATTTTGAGTGATGTATATTTTTCGATGCCACCTACATGTCAATGTTTGATTTGAATTGAAAAGAAAAAAAAATTCATGACAAACTTGATGTTTTTGTGCTTTTTGAAAAATAAATTATTTTCTTAAGTTTGAGAGTATAAAACAAGTTGCAACAAGAACTGATTTGTGTTATAGTAATATTTGACAGTAAAAAAGAAAAATCGAAATGGGTTTTAAAGAACGATTTCCTCGTTGGATAACATTAGTATTAGCTATAGTTCAACTTGTATTAACTGCAGCTATAGCTGGTTTAGAATTTGGTTCAGTTTATTATGATGTTGCACATGGAACAATTTGGGTTGGATTTTGGGCTGCTATTATTTTCTTCTATACATTTTTAATGATGTTCATCATCAGTAAGTTTATTTAATTCATAAATCAATAATTCTTTTTTTTCTCTTTTCAAATCAAATTAGCTTGTTGTTGTCGTGGTCGATGTTGTGCAACATACATATTGATATTGAATGGTAATTAAAATTCTTTTTTTCTTTTTATTTAATAAAATATTTTCTTTTATTTAGTATTAAGTGCATTAGTAGCAGCTGTTATTATCTATTTTGATGTTTATTTTCAAAATAATTTATGTCAATGCTATTTAGGTACTGATTTATGTTGTGCTTTACGTGGAATAAGTAGTTTTAATTCCGATTATGGTACAATAGCTAAAAATTGTACACCAGTAACAGTCAATGGATATCAAACTGTTATTGATCAATGTAGTAGTTATCCTCCAACAAGTAAAACACCATTATTAAAAGGTCAATTAGCATGTGCTGCTGCTATGATTGTTACATGTGGTCTTTATGTTCTTGCATATACATTTGCTTGTCTTGGAATTTGTTTTGGTCATTAACATTTTCTCATTTATTTATCTTGAATTATTTTATCAAAAATTAATATTCAATTCTTTATACAGAAAAATAAACATGAATTTTCATTTTTTTTCAGTAAAAAAAGTAATGTTTAATAAATATTGAAGAAAATGGTAGAAAAAAACGAGTATTCTTTTTTTCTTTTCTTTAGCATAACAAACAGTAAAAACATCGTATAATCCATTTCTTTTTTTTTTGCATTTTAATAAAATAAAAAAATATTCTTTTCAATGAACAAATGAAGCAATAAAAAAAGACATAAATATGATTAACCATAATAAAACTTTTACTAAAGAATATTTTATACATGAAATCTATTGCGTTGTTTAGTTTGGTAAAAAATATTTCTAAATTTACTCAACAAATGACAGTTCTTGTGTTAAATATTTGCAAAAATATCAATCACTTATCGCTCAACAGTTCACAATAACCAAAAATATTAACCATTGTATTACCAAAACTGTCATTTGCTAAGTAAATTTAGACATTTGTTTTTATTAGAATGAATAATGCAACAAACTTCAGACAACCTTTAGAGGCTTCGAAAGTGGAAGAGTGCATCCCCCGCAAATAGAAATTTTTAGCTATGAAAATAGAAAATAGTAGATGTTGATTTCACAATGCAATACACATAGAGTGGCTTTTAGTGTGAAAGATATTTTCATTTTTCAGGATATATAACAACGGAATATAAGATTAAAAATATTCTTCTTCTCTCACCCGAAAAATCGATTTTATCATAATGAGTTATAAGTTTTTCTTTTTAATACTGTTTTAAAAACTGCCGTCTTCGATAGAATTTACTTCTGAAACAAATACTGACTTATAAAAGGAAAAAAAATTTTCGTTGTGCGACACTCCGTAAAGTCGTCAATAGAGAAGACGACAGTAAAAGACTTTTTGTTTACACTTGTATTGAAACAGAATTACCCGCCATCTTGAGTGTGGGTGTGAGCGTAGGTCTGAATAACTGGTATACATGAATATCATATCAACGCCCACACCCGCACACCCTTGGACAGAAACTGGTCCTTTTCGATTTTTAGATCAAAATACCATAGTTACAAATAATGGTTCATGGCATTTCTATGCTAATCTTTTATTCATTGATCAACCTATTGGTACTGGATTTTCTTATGTTGATAGAGGGATGCTTATAGAAGAACTCGATGTAATGGCAGAACATTTTCTCGATCGATATGTTGAGGTATGTCCTGCATTACTTGAAGAAGATATTTATTTAGCTGGTGAATCTTTTGGTAGTCAATATATTCCTTATATTGCAAAAGCAATTTTTGAAAAACGATCATTATTGAAACTACGTGGTCTTCTCACTGGAGATGGATGGTTTGATCCAATTTCTCTTTATAATTCATATTTACCATATGCAACTACAAACAATTTAGTCAAAAACGACTCTGAACTCTATACTAATATTACTCGTCTAGTTGCACTATGTCAAGATATATTATCGAAACAAGTACATATTTTTGTTAATCCATGTTTTCTTATTCTCGATGAGATAATATATAATGGTATAAGGAGGGAAAATAACGGAGAATGTATCAATGCCTATGACATACGATTAATTGCAAAACAACCGATGTGTGGATCGAATGAGCCATCTGAACTTGAATATGTTTCTGCTTATTTAAATCGACGAGATGTTATGTCTAGTATTCATATAAATGGAAAGAAATCTCAATAGAGATATTTTACAGAACCGGTTCATAACGCATTTCAAGTATTTAATTCTAAACCTTCTATCGATCTATTGCCTGATTTACTTGGAAAAATGCCAATCTTGATCTATAATGGTGAATATGATTTAGTTTGTAATCATTGGGCAATAGAGGACATGTCAGATAACATGACATGGAGTGGTGAATCTGAATTCGATTTAGGAAATGGAAGAATGGTTCCAATCTATGCATGGATCGCTGATGGTGAACCTGCAGGTTAGGGTGTGAGGGTTTGGGTGTGGGTTTATGGAATAGAAAGACACCCACACCCTCATTACACTTTGATAAACAACAGATGAATATTTTTATTCAAAAATAAATTCAATTATAAAATATAAAAAGAAGATATAAATTATCTCTAATTCGCTTTTTCAACAATATTTTTTGTAGAAATTTAATATTTTTATGAGTTTTATAACACAAAAATATTTATTCAAATCAAAGAAGAACGAAAAAGAAACTAATGACGTGGGTGTGCGTTAAGAGCCGATAAATATTCGCACATACACCCACACCCTCTATCAGCGTCTATTTCTTAAAAATAATATGAAAATAAATGGTTATTTCTTAGAGAATTATTTATTTCAATTTCGATTTCAATTAAAAGAGAAAATATTTTAATAATTATTAAATGGATGTTCACATGATGTGCAAACTTTCGTAGTAAGATCTTGTCTTGGTGTATTACATTGAGGACATAATTCTCTAGCCAATTGTGCAGAATAAGGTGGAGGAGTATAATCATTGTGTCCTCCAAAATATGCTGTTGGATCTGAAGGAGTTTGATTTGAATAATATACTACATTTCCATTTATTGCATTAACAGAATTACCGATATCAATGACTAACTGAAACAAAAATAAAACAATATTTACAAAAATTTAATTAATAAATAAATAACTGACATTATAAGCTGGCTGATTATTACGATAACCAAATCCTCGATTCCAGTTTCGAATAACATTTAATCTCCAACTACATGGAATTGGTGATCGAGAAGAGTATTTCATTGATTCTTCAGCAACAACTTGTCGCATTTTTTTCATTTGTCTTGAATGTACTAGGTACATTCCAACACTGAAAATTATTGTTCCAATACTAGTTGAAAGAATTCCAATAGCCATTAAAATATAAAATGTATTTCTAGGTGAAGTAATTGATGTTCCTCCAGCAACTATAAAACATATTGTTCCACCAGTTAAAGCCAAAATAAACATCATTGTATAAATGATTAAACCAGTTTTCTTTGACTTTAATGTATGATTTATTCTATGAATTGATTCTTGAAATTCATTTTGATTAATTATTCCATTAAGAGTAACTGGATATGTTGAATCAAATTCTGCTTTTAAACATCCACCTAATAATACAAAAAAAAATAATCATCTGTTTTTAATTGTTCTAATAGATACTCTGGACTATGCTGAGTCGACTGATGATGCTCAAGAAAAAAAGTACAATTTATCGAAAAACTCGAAACTCGTAAACTTGAACAGAAAAAAAGAATAATTATTTCTTACTTGGAATCAATGATATATCAATTGAATTTAAATTCGACGGTGTTCCAATCATTTTCTAAATATATAATAGAGAAGTTATATTTTATCGAAGAGAAAAAAAAAGTGAATAAATATTAGATTTATTTTTCTCAATATTTAACTAAAATATATCTGTCATTTTATTCTCTTGCTTTGTTGTCGTACAATAAAAAATACCGGTATTTTGTTAATGAGAACGACATATTTTTATCGTTGGTGTGTTTTGCCATTTGTTTTTATCTTCAATATATGCAGAAGAACGAATATAAATATAATCTATCACATTTTCTTGTATGAAGAGGATTTTTTTTTGAAGAATATTGACTCAAACTTGTATCGAGCTACGGACATTCTATTGAATATATTTCTTTTTTCTTAAAATACGTGATTTTTTAGTTATTTATCAATTAACAATGTTCTCTTTCTCGTAGAAAAGAGTCTAGCAGAAATACATTGTTTGCTTGATTGATCGAAAATTAGGCAACGATATAAAAGGTTTTTTTTAGGATCAATTTTTTACAAAAAGAAATATCTTTATAAGTGTTGACGGTAGGGTTATCAAGATCGAGGAACTAAAATCTGAAGTCAGTTTTTGAAATTGTTTGAATAAATAGTTTACTGATAGTGAGGACATATCGTTTATGCTTTATGATTATTGAAAATATTTTATTAATGAGATAATCAATAAACGAGTATTTGTAAAAATCGACAAAGATGTATCATAAAATATAGTAAAAAAATTATTGAATATATATATATTTAATATTTATTAAATGAATGTCCACATGATGAACAGAATTGACTTGTGAGAGCTTGTCGTGGTGCATTACATTGAGAACAGAATCCTGTTGATTGACCAGGATAAGGTGGAGGTGCATAGTTACTTTGTCCACCAAACGCTATTGATTGATCCGGAGCAACTTGATTAGGATAGTATGCTACATTTCCAGGAGCAATAGAACGACCAATATCAATTACTAACTAAAAACAATGATATTAATAAATTTATTGAAAAACTAAATCTACTTACATGATAAACTATTTGATGTCTATGTTGATTTCCATAATACCCACCATAACTTGTTGTAGAATCTAATCTCCAACTACATGGTATTGGTGATCGAGAAGAATATTTTCTTGATTCTTCTGCAATTGCTCGTCGCATTCTATCTGCACGTCGAAATTGTAGAGTACAACATGAAATAGTAAAAAAGATTATTCCAAGTATAGTTATAGCTACTCCAACACCAATTAATGCAGGAAATCCACGACGTTGAAAAGAACTAGTTGCTGTTACCGCACCAACAATAAATAATATCATACCAGTTATTATACTCAAAATAAAAATAATGCCTACAAGTAATAAAATTTTACGTGAAGCAATTGTGTGATTGATTTTATGAATTGATTCTTGAAATTCATTTTGACTAATTATTCCATTAAGATGAATTGGATATGTTGAATCAAATTCTGCTTTCAAACATCCACCTAATTATACAAAAAAACATTAAAGAATAGAAATTTTAAAAAAAATGAATAATTACTTTGAACAACAGGTATATACACTGAATTATGATTTACTGGTATACCGATCATTTCTTTTTTTCTATCATATATATCACATACGAATATATGTATAAAATCGCATAAATACTAAAGACTGTATGACGTATATGTACTGTAATAAAATAAAAAAACACAGATAGTAACTACACAACAGTAGAAAAGAACAAAATTATATATTTGACAAAGATATATATCAGCACGTGTTTTCACTATGATATCATATAACAACAAAATCACGTAGGAGAATATTCGTTTTTATTTTTTATAAAACGAAAGAACAAGATAGAAGAAATTGTAAAATATTAATCATATATTTGTCTACATGAATACCTTAACATAATCTTGTTCGATCTCATTTCGATCAGTGACAGACCCTTCAAAAAAATGTTCGAATAGCTGTGCAAGCAATTGGATTAACTGTTACTACTTCATAATCCAATGCAATTTCAATAGCTACAGTCGAGCAGCGTTGTCACCTTTGTCTAAGAGAGTGTAATCCCAAGGTTATTACTCACTGTTCAAGTTGCAATGTTCCCTGTTGTCTAGATCATCATAAAGTCATTTGTAACGAAATGTTTTTAGGATAAACTAATTAAATACAGTTTCTGTTTTATAAGTTATTATCTTATAATATGTTTATCATATATAAAGGTGAATAATAAGTCGTAGTCCTATAGGTAACCGTATCAAGATTAAATGATATATTTCGTTCATTATTAAAATCTACTGATCGTATATGAACATATATTGAATATCAATGACATTTACCAACGAAAGATATTAATCTTAGTATAGAATTATTGAAGAATAATCATGTTAATATTTTACTCTCTTTATTATCTTATGAACAAATTTCTCAGCCACGTGAAACATTATTTTCTTGGATTATGTCATTACGAACTGATGATATTTTAGTTGCATATTATCAATTTGGATAGAATACATCATGTAAATCAGTATTATATTTAATTGATATGTTTGGTATTGAACGTCGTCGCTTTTTACGATAATTATTTTCACAAACATTTGTTAGGAGAAATAAAAATTTTTTTTTCAATAAAAGTATGTTTCGAATTAGATACTCTACCAATTCAATGCAAAACATTAGAAAGAAGTGAGTAAATAATAATATTTCGAATTTATTTCAGATTTTTATTTTTTCAATAAAAAATGTTTTAATCTTTCGATTTTATCAAAAATAATGTTACAGTTCTTCTCTTTCCTTTTCATTAGAAATTTTCAATATAAATAAAATATTTGATTTTAATATTATAATAGAAGATTAGATTTCTTTTGATATTTTATTAATCAAAACAAATAAAGCGATATTAAATATTTTATATAAAAAATTGCAGGATTAAAAATTAGAAAATGTTTTTGTTTGTTGTTGGTTGATATAGATGAAAATGATTGTGTTTAGCTGCTGTCATCAGGAGAGGAACTAGTAGAAACTGATGAACATGAAAGACTAAGAACACCAGTACTGTTATTTCCCTAAAAAACAAAATTGAAATTATAAGAACAAAGGGAATTGATTTCGATAACATACTTGACAACAACTTTGACCTTGATAACATCCATTATATTGATCACCACTAGAACCATCTGTTGCAGCATTAGAGCATGTAACTTCTGACAATAGAAAAAATATTAATTATTCATTTCTATAAGAATGAAAAAACATAATATACGTTTATTAGTACTGGAACTAGAGTGGAAGAAAGATCCAAACCACGAAAAAAGATTTCTTTTTCGGCGACCACTGGTAGCTAAAATAAAATTAGAATTTTTATAAAGTCAAAAAACAAGTAATAAATTTTATGCTCAAAGAAAATAAAATCTATCTATTAACATAAACAAATGATTAGCCTTACTTGAACTAGCATAATTATTACAACAGTGAGTTGTGCCTGATGAACATTTATTTATTGTTGTAGTGTTGTAAGTTTGTTGATTGTTAATAATATAATTGTCTGGAGTAAGCGTATAAGTTTGTTGACCATTCCAGTTTGGGTTATTATTGTTACCATTGCCACCATCGTTTCCATTATTGGATGGAGCAACAATATACGTTGTTGGTTGCTGGTTGTTTTCATTGTTGTCATTGCCACAATTCGATCCTGAACCACCACCACCACCACCACCACCACCACCACCATTGCGTCTTTCTCTGGATGGTGATGCATTACTTGCAATGACAATCACAGCAATAATCATAAGACATAAACATTTCGACATTTCCATTTTTAATATCAACGATTGTTTTATTTGATTGTTGAATAATGAATATTAAATGAGAAAATTTTTGTTGAGATTCTCCAAGGTTTATATACCATATAATTAATGATCATTGATGTGGAACAAAATATATTCTGTTTTTTGTTTAATACACATTACGTCAATCTTTGGATTTATTTTAAGATTAGATGAAGAAATATTTACAAAAAATATGATGATCATATCTGGATTTACTCAAAAATTATCGACTGTTGTCAATAAGACAAAAGAAAAGAATATTTAACGCGAGAATGGTTTAGAGAGTAGAGTAGAGTCATGACGTTATCTTTTTCTTTTTCTTTTTTCTTTTCTTATTCTTGTCTGTCTAATCAATACAAAAGGCGTATTTCATGAAAAGAAACGACGAGAAAAATCATGAATAAGACAAAAGTTGCACTTGATAATATGAGAGAGAAAAAAATATTCATTTCAAATTATTTGAAATTTACAAAATCGAAAATTAAACCGTAAAGGAAGTATTGATTATGTATATGATGAAATTCAAATAATCTTTGTCATATAATAAATATATGAAATAAAATAGAAAATGAAAACGAATATTTCTATTGTACTTTATATTTCATAACATTAAAAGAAAACAACACTGCACGAAGTTTTATTAAAATAAATAAATACGGTATTATTGATTGAAAATTCGTGTGAGAAACATTAGTGTAGGAATATTTCAGAAGATATGTTCATTAAATTAATTGAGAAACTTTTAGTTTAATAATTATTTAAAAGAAAAATTTCAGGAGAAATATTGATAATTTTTCATAGAAATTTATTGTTTATAGACACTTTATTATTAATGCAGAATTAGATTGAAATTTGTCTTTTAAACGAAAAATCTTACATTTTCAAATAGATACAACGAGTATTCTTTTCATATTATTAAGTGCAACGTTTATCTTAATCATGATTTTCGTTGTCGTTTCTTTTTTTGTAAAATCTACCTTTTGTATTGATTAGACAGAATAAGAAAGAAAGAAAGAAAAATAACGTCATCACTCTACTCTACTGTTTAAACCATTCTCTCATGTTAAACATTATTTTCTTTTGTATTATTAACAACACTTAATAATATTTGACTAAATTCAGATATTTTGTAAATATTTCTTAAAATAAATCCGAAGATTAACGTATGAATATTAAACAAAAGAAAGTATTTTATTCCACATCAATGATCATTTGTATTATATATAAACCTTGGAGAATCTCAAGAAAACTTATCTCAATTTACTATTCCTTATTCAACAATCGTTAATATTAAAAATGGAAATGTCGAAATGTTTATGTCTTATGATTATTGCTGTGATTGTCATTGCAAGTAATGCATCAGTATTTCGAGAAAGACGCGGTGATAATAAATGGAACGGTAACAATGGTGAAAATAGCGGATCTCCACAAACATATAATGTATACCCAACAAATACTTATACTAATACTGAAACCAGCAACAGCGACACATCAAATAAATGTCAAAGTGGTCAAAATATCTGTTGTAATAATCAAGCTGATTCAAGTAAGTTTAATTATTTGTTTATGTTAATCGATAGAATTTCTTTTCTTTCATTATGAAATTTCTTATTTGTTTTTTTATTTTATAAAAATTCTAATTTTATTTTAGCTACAAATAGTCGCCGAAAAAGACATTCCGGTTCGAGCAATGGCCGTTCGAACAATGGTAACGCTATCAAAGTCATCCATTCCCAAACTAATCAACATATGCTATGTTTTTTTCATTCTTATAGAAATAACTAATTGATATTATTTCTCTTGTCAGAACATACATGTTATAATTATGCAACAAATGGTACCACTGGTGATCAAACTACAGGATGTAGTACAAATCAAATTTGTTGTCAAGTATGTTATCAAAATCAATACTCTTTCTTCTTAGAATTTCAATTTTGTTTTTTAGGGAAATACCAGTGGTGGTAGTGTTGCTAGTATTTCATGTTCATCAGTTTCTCTTCCTAGTAACTAAATATAATCATTTTCATTTATATCAACCAACAACAAACAAAAACATTCTCTCATTTTTACATACTTTTCTTCATATTTAAATATGTTTATCTTGGAATTTTGTTTATATGAAATATTTAATTTCGCTTTCTCGATTTATTTATCATGATTAATAAAATATGAAAACAAATATAATTTAAATATTCTATTATTTTGATGTAAAAGTGTGATAATAAGTAACAAAAATTTATTTGTTTTATTCTTCTAATATTTGTATTCGAAGGCAAAAATGAATAACATATTCTTCATCGTTTCTAATAGATATAAAAATAAAAAAGAATTGTAGAATTGTTTTTAATTAGATCGAAATATTAAAACAATTTTTTATTCGGAAAACAAATTTTGTTCAAATTAATTTTACTCAAATAATAATCTTGTGATATGATTATTTTTGTTAAATTTAACTAATAGTTTAGTTTACGATAACACTTGTTTTGATTTTAATGAATTATTTTATAATATTTCATGAATTTATTCTATAGATATTTATTAAAACATTTTTATTTTATATAAGATTTAGAAATGTGGGTGTGGACCAAAGATGGGATCGGTTCGTGTTTTTCTCGAACCGAACCGGACCGAAAAGATCTCAAATCGAACCGGTCCCATCTCTGGTGTGGACGTGGTGCATAGGCGGCGGAACGTCTTGAATCTCGGTGGGGCTCACAGTATTTTCTTTCCTCATCTGTTGAACTGCGATGATAAAACTTTTATTAGAGCTGCAGCATCAAAAAAACTTGTTTTTTTAAGTTCAGTAAATCAAAGAGTAAAAGATGCTTAGGATTAAGAAAAAAGAACCGTTTTCTTTGTTCGTTTTTTGATGCAAACGTAGAAAAAATATTGTTTAAGACAATAGAATCGATCTTCTCCTTGTAAATGCCAGTCATAAATGCACTATTCAAACAAGTATGTGTCGTAGGAAAGAAAGAGAATCACAAAGGTAGTGAAACGACGGATAAATACCACTACCTAACACTTCTAAACATATATTCTTATCCGAAGCTATTATTCTCTCTTGTGAAATCAAAGCGTAACTGATATCCGACTGCAATCATGTCAAGACAGCCACTACGAACAATAGATATAAGAAAGAAATATAATTTCTGTGTCTCAGAAAGAACAGTAGCGACAACAAGTGAATAAATGGTGTGAAAACTATAGATTATCATGGAGTGTCAAGTTCAAAATTAGGTGAGTCTCCTAGGCTCCACTGCCCTTGAACTTTTACATTATTTCTTGTATGAGAAGAAATGATATTGATTGCGAAAAAAAAGTACTTCGAATAGAGAAAAAGATGAATAATATTGTAAGATAAACACAATACAATTCAGGAATTTGATTAATAAATATTGTCCTATTTATACGTTGGTGCCATTCAGAAAATGATTTATGTATTTTATTTATAGTAAAACCAGTTTTTTTTAGTATTACTTTGCTATTATTAGACTCTTTCGAATTTTGACTAAATTCAAACATAGTTTAATAAATGATTTTATTTTTATCTCTAACTGAAGATAATTTCTATACATACATATCGAAGCTTATATCTCTTTAACCATTTTAATTTAACATGATTCGATTTAGATCTCAAAGAAGATACAAAAACTTTTTTCACTTAGATTAGGAAAAAAAATAACTCATTTTAAACTGAGTATGTGCTGAAGCAAAGATAACCAATATGATCACAAATCTTTCCAAATTTAAAAATATTCAGAATTAATATTCAATTACCAATTCATAATGATCACGTCTCACTGAAGGAATTCATACAAAATTTTCGAAAATTAACTCTTTTATTATTGGGAATACGGTCTGCTAATGATAAATATCAACAACATAAATCGAAATTTTGCAAAGAGTACATGAATACATTATGAATGATCTTTTATATTGTATCAACCGTGTCTATATGACTAATAATAATTTAGGGCGAAAGAGCAGTTCTTCTTCTATATTTTTCTGTGTTTTTTTTTGCGAAGATCAAGTAAGTTTGATTTAACGTCATAAATTAATAAAATATGAAGATTAAACAAAGGCTTATTCTAATGTGTATACTTACATTTATTTGTACTTATCTTGAAGATTTAGGAATAATCAGAACAAATGTTTCTAATATCTTTAATCACAAAAACTATTCGGTTAGAACATGATTTTTTTCTTTTTCTTTTTTATATAATGATAATTAACTATCGTTTATGGGTATGGGTGTGAGTGTTGTTAGATTAAGATAAGAGAAACCCACATTCACTTTAAATAATTCTCTCGTTGGTTTTAAATCTCAGAAATGATTCATTCGAAATTTTTATATCATTTATGAAAACTATTCCTGATTATTTATTTGTATAGTAAAAGAATCTGTTTTTATTCATTATCAAGTGTATTCAAGCAGTAATAATATAACTTCGCGGCTGTTTTTTTCATTTCTTCAACATACTCTTTTCAACATCTGAGAAAAAGTAACATCAGAAAATCATGAAAGAATTTTCATGAATAGATGTTAATATTAATGAAGGACGTGTCTTTGTTATTATTTCTATATTAGATACAATTGACAAATACTCAAATTATTAACCTCTTTTTTTGCAGGAAGAATACATGAATGATTTATTCTACTGAATAAATAATTACACTGAAATATTATGTAAAAATTACAATAATTTTATACTACAAAAGTTCTCTTACTCTCTAAGAACTTTCTCGTATAAAAAAAATGCAATAGTTTACATTTGTCATTCTTTAGTAACAAAATTTATATTATATTTATTTCTATATAATCAATTAAAATAGAGTTATATTTGTCATTTTTGTTTTTCGTAGCATCATTCCTAAATTTATCTTTTCTGTTAAAAACATTTTTCTTCGACTATATAAGTTACGGTTACAATATAAAATACTTTAAATTGTGTTTAGATTTAGAAAAAAAAACTTTCACCAAAGTCGTGCCAATTTTGTGTTCTATATTTAATATGAAATACATTGAGATAATTAAAAGTATATTTAGATCTTAATCAAAGTGGAAATAGTTTTCATAGATTTTGAATCCTTTGCAAAATTATAAAGCAAGTATATTTTATTATAACATAATCAAATATTCAGTTAAAACTATTAAGATTATGATGAATCAAGTTGCATTTATATTGTGTTTAACTACACTTATTATTTGTTCGGTATCATGTTTATTTTCATGTGCTATACTAATTTGTGTTATTCATCATCTTTGTCATAATCGTTTACAACAAGAAGATCGAATAATATTTATTCATTGCATTAATATTTATTCATTAGTTTTGGCGTATATTGGAATAATAGCATCATTTAATATTCAAACAGTTCTAGGAAACTTATATGAATATGATTTTAATTCATCATGGCCATGGTGTATATTTGCAGGATATATAACTCCTATTTTAATCGGGTGTATATATTGGGCTTTTGTAAATCAGGTAATTCATTATTGATTAACTAGAACAATTAAAACATTTTTTTTCTTTTTATTCTGAATGTAGGCATTCTTTCGTCTTTGTCGAGTTGTATATCCATCTATACGATGGCTTCAATTATACCAGTTATATATTATTTTACCATTCATAGAATTAGTTTTCAGTTGTATTTTAATGAGTTTGATTCTATTTTTACATTCTGTTGTTTATCTTCCAACAGATTATTATTGTTTTGTACCATTTACAAATGTGTATAGTATGCTTTGGCTTGCATTTAATGGTTACGGGAATCAGATTGGTGTATTATCATTTATTTATATCCGCATTACAATTTTTCTTCGGCGTCAAACAAATACTCAAACACTTATAGTTAGACAACGACAAGAACGTGATTTTCTTATCATTCGACGTATTCTCATAATTGTTGGTGTCTTAATAAGTCTTGGAATACCTGCTATAGTTTTTCTAGTGACGGCATTTATTACACATGAAGAACATCCTCTCACGTTTCCTTTTTTTTGGTTTTTTATTAGTATATCAATGATATGTATATGCTTATCAACAATTATTTTTACATCACAACTGAAAAAGATTGTCGTTAAAATAATTCAACATAATCGTGTTATACCTTTGAATAGCAGTTTGATAGGTTCGATTCCAACGAGACAATGATATATTTACTATTGATTAAATTTTACTTATTATATGTAAACTATCTTTTATTAAAACATATTTTTATTTTTGTTGTATTTGGTGTTCTAATATCCGAAATACATGATTCTTTCTCGAGATATTGCGAAATGTAGGGTCCTGCATCGGGACGAAAGTTTTTTTCTGACCCCGGTTAAAGATTTGTACACTATTTCATTAGCTCAAATATTGAACAATTCGTTGACTGCACGTTTTGTAGAGAAATGTTTACCGTCAATTGCACATTACCGACACAAAATGCCACATGTTATTATTATGACGAACTTAAACACAAGTGCTTCTCTTTTCTATATCCATATCAGTTGTGGAGAATGGTTACTGTTAATCTAATTCATGCTGACTGGTTTCATTTATTCGTTAATTTATCAAAACAACTACTGTTGGGTATTTTACTTGAACGTAAATATGGCTCGTTTCGGGTAGTTATTGTCTACTAGCTTTCGAATGTAGGTGCAATTCTATGTGCTATACTAGAAGATAGTCGAAAAGGTAATTAAAGTACTATTCAGTACTAGCTTTTTAAATGTACAATTGATTTCACTTTTTAAGTGGTATTGGAGCTTCTGGTGCTATATATGGTTTATCATTATTTTCCATTGTAGAACGTCTTAATGCAATGAAAACAAATGTCGATCATCACCGATTCATATTTATGCAATTAATTCTATTTGTTGTATTTCCTATGACCATCATCATATCTTTAGCGACTATTCTTCGCATGAATGTGGGACATGCAGCTCATTTTGGTGGTGCTTTAGTAGGTTTTCTGTTTGGTATCGGTATGTTTGGTTATCCATGTCCATATTCATCGAATAATAATTATTGTAACTTTCAAAAGGCATGCCGATGGATAGCATTTCTTTTTCTTTTTATCTACTTTGTTTTTACTTTCACTATTTTTTTCCTAATGGATGCTCCGTATGTATTGCAGCCTTAACCAAGATGCTAGTTAAAAACTTAAAATGTATAAGTGAATGTGAAGTTGTTAGTTTTGGAAACATCTATCATCAATTTCCTCATCATTATGAAATGAATATATCGTAAAATGGGTGTGAATGTGTGCTGACACATAAGACGAATCTAAACTGACTTTAATCTTTAAATGGAGAAGTAAATTTATGATAATGTTATATTCTTATCGAAGATTGAAGAAAAAGATGATATTTGGAACTGTAGTAATAGTTCGTTTATTTAAGTAGAAAATGTGAGCATTTATATGACAAAAAATGGTTACTTCTTCGATTATTCTTACCACTGTAATAGAACGTATTCTTGAAAATAACACATTTCGATATAAGAGTTAGAAGAACAAAAGAAAAAATACCATGCGATAATATATATGTACAATATAGCGAACGAGTATTTTATTTGTTTGCATATAGATAGGCATTTTAAAAGAAAAAAAAGTGACCCTGGCAGGACTCGAACCTGCAATCTTCTGATTCGAAGTCAGACGCCATAGCCATTAGGCCACAGGGCC